CCGGCTAATTTTTGTATTTTTAGTAGAGACGGGGTTTCACTGTGTTAGCCAGGATGGTCTCGATCTCCTGACCTCGTGATCCACCCGCCTTGGCCTCCCAAAGTGCAGGTATTACAGGCGTGAGCCACCGCGCCCGGCCTCTTTTTAATTTTTTTTGAGATGGAGTCTTGCTCTATCACCCAGGCTGGAGTGCAGTAGCGTGATCTTGGCTCACTGCCAACTCTGCCTTCTGAGTTCACAGCATTCTCCTGCCTCAGCCTCCTGAGTAGCTGGGACTACAGGTGCCCACCACCACGCCTGGCTAATTTTTTGTATTTTTAGTAGAGATGGGATTTCACCATGTTAGCCAGGATGGTCTTGATCTCCTGACCTTGTGATCCGCCCACCTTGTCTCAACTGAAAATAGAAAAAATTAGCCGGGCGAGGTGGCAGGTGCCTGTAGTCCCAGCTACTCGGGAGGCTGAGGCAGGAGAACGGCGTGAACCCGGTGGGGCGGAGCCTGCAGTGAGCCAAGATCGTGCCACTACACTCCAGCCTGGTCAACAAAGTGAGACTCTGTCTCAAAAAAAAAATTAGCCGGTGTAGTGGCGGGCACCTGTAATCCCAAAAGTATCCCCAGCTACTTGGGATACTTTGAAAATTACATACAAAAATTACTAAGAGGCTCAGGCGCAGTGGCTCATGCCTGTAATCCCAACACTTTGGGAGGCTGAGGTAAGCGGATCCCCTGAGGTTGGGAGTTCAAGACCAGCCTGACCAGCAAGGTGAAATGCCGTCTCTACTAAAAATACAAAAATTAGCCCGGTGTGGTGGCAGGTGCCTGTAATCCCAGCCACGTGGGAGGCTGAGGCAGAGAATCCCTTGAACCCGGGAGGCACAGGTTGCAGTGACCTGAGATCAGGCCACTGCATTCCAGCCTGGCGACGGAGTGAGAGTCCGTTGCAAAAAAAAAACAACAACAAAAAAACCAAAACCAAAAACTAAAGAGTTTTTGTAAAGAATAGCTTCAGGCCGGGCATGGTGGCCCACGCCTGTAATCCCAGCAGTTTGGGAGGCTGAGGCGGGTGGATCACAAGGTCAGGAGTTCGAGACAAGCTTGACCAACATGGTGAAACCCCATCTCTACTAAAAATACAAAAATTTGCTGGGCGTGGTGGTGCATACCTGTAATCCCAGCTACTTAGGAGGTTGAGGCAGGAGAATCGCTTGAACCTGGGAGGCGGAGGATACAGTGAGCCGAGATCACGCCACTGCACTCCAGCCTGGGTGACAGAGCTAGACTCTGTCTCAAAAAAAAAAAAAATTGCTTCAGCAGTTTGGGAGGCTGAGGCAAGCAGATCACGAGGTCAGGAGATCGAGACCAACCAATACAGTGAAACACCATCTCTACTAAAAATATAAAAATTAACCAGGCGTGGTGGTGCTCACCTGTAATCCCAGCTACTTGGGAGACTGAGGCAGAAAAATCGCTTGAACCCGGGAGGGGATAGGCTGTAGTGAGCCAAGATCGCGTCACTGCACCCCAGCCTGGGAGATGGAGCAAGACTCTGTCTCAAAAAAAAAAAGAGCAGCTCCAATGGAAAACTCCTTATTACCCAATCTGACCCATAATGGACTGTGGAAATGACAAAAAGTCCAATCCTGTCTTTCCCCTAAATGCCCTTAATGCCACTGCCAGTGGCCGGACGCAGTGGCTCACGCCTGTAATCCCAACACTTTTGGGAGGCCAAGACGGGTGGATCACCTGGGGTCAGGAGCTCTAGACCAACCTGGCCAGCAGGGTGAAAATAGAAATAGAAAATTAGCCGGGGTGGTGGCGCATGCCTGTAATCCCAGCTACTCGTGAGGCTGAGGCAGGAGAATCGCTTGAACTGGGAGGCGGAGGTTGCACTGAGCCCAGATTGCGCCATTGCACTCCAGCCTGGGCAACAAGAGCGAAACTCTGTCTCAAAAAAAAAAAAAAGGAAAGGGAAAGAAAAGCCACTGCCGTCAATAATGGAATGAATCGTCATCCCGGGGAATGGTGCTGCTGCAGGTCTGACCCGCACAAGCTAAAGTTCACCGCGGCCTAGGCTCCCGGTCTCCGAACCTCCTTCCCTAAACCCTGTACAGCTTCCTGGGTCAACTCTAGCCCCAGTAAGGCTACCTGACCAACAGCTGATAGCTCCCTCTAGAGGCAACGATTTTTCTTTAGTGATAGGAACTGAAGAAAAAGACTTGACCACCATGCAGGCTGTATTTAAAGCCTGAAGGCAAACCTAGATTGGATGCAAATATAATTACAGGGCACCAGTTTCATTCTTCCAGAGCCTTGCTGCAATGACCTCCAGTGAGTATAACTGTAAAGATACAAGTGGAGAAAGACAAAATGTTGATGGTGGTGCATTGTCTTAAAATTCTTTACAAGGCCAGCACAGTAAAACATGATACGAATGAGCCAGATTTCAACATAAATAAGGGGCAACTAAGAAGCTAGACTCAATTGTCTCAAAGCCATCAAAACCAATCACCATAGCAAAGTTTCCTGGGCTTATTTTAAGTCGTTTGCTGTTGGGTCTAAGAGGTGCTGAGGGGCCACCATAAAATACTAAAGACAATGATAACCAACAGTTTAATTGTATATAAATGTTAAGTGTTAAAACCCACACATCCTAATAGTCTT